TAGGGTTTTACCCCAGTGATATAAAAAAGGTTCGACGCCACTGGGTCCTAGATCTTTTCTAATATGCTATAATTCTTATACAAAACTGTTTTACTGTTTAACGGTAACCTATACCGGGAATTATACCAATGATTAAAAATAAAATAAGTAGTAATACAACAGTAACTAACAGTCGAATTCTTAATTTAGTATCCAATGGGCAACGAGTAAAACACTCAATTTTCTTGAATAATTCAATTAATTTGCTTTTGATAGATATGTCTAATACCATTATTTCAAATAATCGAATCATTCGATTATTCCCATCATTACTATCTTTCATTAGTTTAAATGTACAATTTAATTTATAAATTCATATTTGGTGCAAATATTAAAAATATACAGATATATGTTTCTATAAATTCAACCAATGTCTTGAATTCTTGATAAATTGTGAACATCATGCTTTTTAAAGACAATACAACAAGTAAATGTAAAACATACTATTTATATTATTTTATATTGTAAATATAATTTTGTACTAAATAATATATTTAATTTTAAATGACTAGCAACTGTATACATTTATATTTGGCTATCATAAGTAACACATTGTTTATTTTAAATTCTTTCATAAATATAAAAAGTATAAAAAAAGTGATGAACATTAAGATACTTCTTATATTCAATATATTATTTTTGTAGCTATTTAAATTATATCAAATCTTAAAATACAATATGGCAGATGAACTAGTCGAGTTAGCAGCACAAGATGTATTCGTTTTACTGGGAGTACCTGTCCCTGACAACATAGAAATTAGAAATAATCTGGAAGAACTAGATACACACGATGGTGATGAAGACTCGAAGATCTCTCTTACTGAAGGAGAATTAATACGTTTTAAAGTAATGAGTTTATTTTTTCACAACATAATATATATATATAAATACATGGACACCAATTGGCATAACAAGTGATTAATAAATGAATAAAATAAATAAACAAATGAATATGCTTAAGTCTTAAGTTTTACTTATTATTGCTCATATATTTACAATATAAAATAATATTTACCATTCAATTAACAGTTATAGTAAAAAAGCTAACGATAATAAAAAACTGAGTTCTAGTTGTATTATTAAAAAGATAGAAATCACAGATTATTATCGCAGATAATATTAGACAAATCAAATGTATTATCAGAATAATACAATATATTTATAATATTTAATTATAATTTATTAATAATATTTTATTCATCACGTTTATTGAGCAGACAAGCATTCAGTTATACAAGGATAATTATTGATTATTTCTAGACAGCCACTGATCCAATTGTGAACGATGTAACTCCCCTAGAAGAAATTGACAATAGTTCTACTGATAGTTTGACAAAAAGTGAAAAAGAAGAAAATAGATGGTACAATCCGGCAATGAATACAGGACTCGAAAGATCAGATATTGAATCCTTAAAAAAATTATTAGGTGCTATCAAGGTATATAATTAATCATCATAAGGATCACTTAAATTTTTAAGAGTCAATAGTTCATCGTTTAGTTGAATGTGTTATTTGTACGGAATATTTTATTTTTTTTCTTCTTGCTTTAGCACACCAACCCAGCGACAACTGTAGCAGCGTTGACCAAACTTAAAAAAAGAACCAATAACAAACGAGGCTTACCAAAATATGTTTATTGCTCAAAACGGTTTTGAAGTATTGATTAACATACTCGAATGTAATAACGACAAGTGTATGGTAAATAAAATATTACATACATTTTTATATTATCCATTTATTCATTTGATTCCATTTATCACTGCAACATTTCAGATTGAATCTTTAAACATCATATACAAAATGTCTGAAAACTATGGTATCCAATGCTCGTTGTGTAACTTAGACGTAGTAAAACCGCTGGTAAGTATTTTACTGTTCGAAAAGAATGTCACTGTAAAAAGCATAGCCGCGGCTATATTACAAAACATTTCAAAGTTACGTAAAGGTAGAAAACTAATTCGTTTGAACAACGGCATCCGGATCCTAGTGCGTGCAAAAAATATATTAAATATATTAATTTCACCTACTAATTACATTATGCACGCATTTTAAGGTACAATCAATGAAAGTACCCAATAATATATTTTTAACTCCAGTAAAAAAATTGAGTTTAGTAAATCGACCTATTGTGAAGCTGTTGACGAAGTGTGCTGGTACTCTGAACTCATTATGTAAATCGTTAAAAAGCCAAGAAGAATTATGGTAATAAACATTAAAAGAAATAATTTAATTTAACTACGGTTGCACAGATGGTATATACAAATGGAAAATGTTTATTGTTTAGGCATTGTGGGTTCATGCAACTCATACCATTATTTTTGAAAACCATTCACGTGAATATACAGTTATGCGTGATGAGTTTAATAGCCGAATGTTGTCGTTCAAGATCAAACACTGCTGGTCAAAAAGAGAATATGAACTATAAATTTAAACTAGCTCTAAAAGAGTTCAACATTTTACCGCAAATCATACAACTTATGGTCAGTAGTATTGATGAGATTGCAGAAAAAGCAGCTGAAACGATTTTGTTTATGTTTGAAGACGATACCTCTATATATGATATATTATTGAAAAATAAAGGAATGAGAGCCATTTTTGAAGCTATTCAAAAATTTCAGTAAAAACTTAATAATTTAATATTTAAACAAATATTCTTAATTTTTTAGTTATTAGTAGGGCTCGGAAATTGTAGGAATTGCAAATTGTTCTGTATGATCTCAATTTATAGCAGACCTAGCTAGAAATTTGAAGAATACAATTGCGAGTTGGAAAATTGAAAATTGAAAATGCATATTTTGCATATTTGGCCAATTTTAGTTTAAAAAGTGTATATTTCATTGATTTTATACGCAATATTATTAAGCATATTTCATATTTTTTTTAAAAAAATTGATCATTTTCTTTTTTAACCTGTATATTTCAACTAATATTGAATATAAAACTCAAAACTATCAACAAAGGTATTTATTGTCATCGCCATTGTCATCTTATATTGAATAAGAAAACATGAACATGTATTTTTTTCGTAATTTAAAAAATACTGAAAAAATATTTTTAATTTTATTTTCAGCTCAATAAGATGTCAAAATGCCAACGAGTTATAATTTTTTTTTAGTTATAAATAGTTTTTATGTATATTATTAATTTATTAACAACATCTGATATATTTTATTTTTGGAATTCAGATCCATTTTTTTGCATATTTAACATTTTTAATGCATTTTTTGCAATTTTTTCGTACATATTTGCATGCATACTTTACATTTTTTAGCTCCTACAACTTCCGAGCCCTAGTTATTAGTAATATAATATTAATATTACATTTTTTAAATTTCCTCTGTACATTTATACATGCAATAATCGAATATTAAATTACTTTTTTAAAAATCATCCATAATTTAACTAAGGAGCAATTAGGTCTATATTAAAAATATAATACATATAAGTACCATTCTTCCCGTCTAAAATTGAAATTATTATAAAAGCATTATTTAGTAATTTGGTAAAATAAGTTATCTAAAAAATTCTCCTCCCTCTAACAGATTCTATTTCGAACAAAAAATAAACATATTTAAGATTATAATAATAATATATATATATATATATATATAATATAAGTGCATTGAACTTTTAACTTGAATACATTACAAATACATTACAACATCAATTTTTCGAATTTGAAGAGAATATAAATAATTTCGAGCAATTATGACATAAGTTTTGAAACATCAATATTTAAACTCCAATAATATATTTAATCATCTGAAATTAATTTATTTTTTTTCCAACTAACTGACCAAATGTACTTTTTTAGCAATATCTGAAATGAACTGAAAATATATTAAGTTTTTGTGAACGGTAAATTTTCATTTATCGGTTATCACGTCATATCGCTTTATTTAATTTTTATGTTTTGTTAAATAATAACACTCTTTAAGAACAATATCGATCTTTACATTAATACGAGTCTACCAATTACATTATTATAATATTTGTTTTGGATCTAAAGGTAAAATTGAGTACAAAAACACATATTTCTTAGTATTAATATTTATTATTTAAATATAATATTTATTTCATTATTATTAATCCAATGTTCTAAAGCATCAAGGAAGAATTTAATATATTTAGTATGTACCTATGTCCAATACTTCTTAAATTTTTATTTGTTTTCAAGGAACGTTCAATGTGTTATGGTCATACTCATCACTGTGCTGTGGAAAAGTTCCATGAACACATATTGTAGAGCAATAATTATTGAAGACAGTTTCGTAAATCACTTGCTGGAATTATTATCGTACCCGTACAACGATCAAGTGGTTGGCTATACTGTCGCTACACTAACTGAGTTATGGAAATCTGAATCACTGCGTCCAACGTTAAGACAGAAAGCTCTACCAAAGTATTTGGAACTACTTCGGTTAAGCCAGCACGATCTGATATTGACTTTCGTGTGCACCGCTCTGAGCAAGGCATCGAGTGATCCAGAATCCATGGAAATTATTAACCAGGCCCATGGCTTTCAAATGGTACTAGGCCTACTGCCTTCACTGAAAATTGACCAGTTTGACAAATACGATGATTTCAATGGTTCAGAAATGATAATTGCCGCTACCGAGTGTCTGACCATGATGATTCACAATATGGTAAACATTAAAAATGTTTAGATATAAAAATCAGGAATAAGTTTATAAGTGCCATTAAATATACTTATACATTTATTCTTATTATAATAAATACCGTGGTATCCGAAAAATAATTTCCCGAAAAAAAAGTACCCAAGAAAAATTGTGTATGTATTACGAAAAAAAATAAAAAATAAAAAAAAATTTAGCGATAAGTATTGTAAATTAAAATTAATTTAAATCATATTTTTTCTTTAATATAAGTCAAAATAAATCAAAATTTCTTATGGAGGTTATTACAAACAAAGCACAATTAATTTTAACTGAAATTGATGGACAAGCAAGTAAAAAAAAATAAAAAAATTAATAATAAAAATTAAATATATGAACAAATGCAATGTCGATTAAAAGCCTTATGTGTATGTTTAAATAAAAATAAAATTACATTGCAAGAGATTTTATTAGATATAGGTAATAAAATAAGAAAACGAATTTTTGACTAATTTTATATAGGTACTACTATTTTATTTATTATTATTTATTTTTATAATATAATACTTTTTTCCGAATGTTTTTTTCTTAGTACTTTTTTTCCTAATATCAGTATCGTTTTATACTCATTATTTTTTTTCATCTCGGTCTGTTTATTAATTTAGCCAAACATGAATCATTTCAAGCGAATGTATAAAGCGTTGTGTGACTTAGTAAATCTTTTAACGCACAACCATTTGGATATTTTGGCAGCAGCTTGTGGGCTTATTGAAGTAATCGCCTCGTTTGATGATAACTTGAAGTTTATGATCGACGCTGGAGTGATTGAAAATTTGACTAAACTTTTGCCTACGGTAGATTTATATTAAATTTTTCTTACAACACTCTCAAGACGATACTGTCCGAAGATTCTTTGAAACGCTTTCTGTTATAGACGCACAACAACTTAAGAGCCAATTTGTGTAAAGCTTTGGGTAAATGTTGTAGAGTAGGAATTAAAGGACGTAAAATGTGCTGCAAATACATTTTAGAACAGTTAATGGTATATATGGAGACCGGCGATCAAACGGTTAAGGACAACATACCTATGGCATTAAGTGGATTATCCGTAGATCCGTTAAACTGTGTGAAAATTGAAATATTAGGATTTATTCCAGTAAGTAGGTAACCTTTTTTCGAATAACTGTTTAAAAATCTAAGCCATAAGTCTTGTAATATTATATAATATAGTTTTTAAGAAAATGCATGAAATCGAGTAACTCTGAAATGGCTGATGCTGCGAATAAATGTATGAAAAATGTAAGACAAGCATGTACAGGTATAGGTCAATATCGGGATTGTAAAACATTGTCTACTCTAGAAGAAATCTAAAACACTGAATTGTCATCATTGTATCGAATAAAATCATGTATATTAAACATTTACTAATCATGTATACCAACCACTTACATAATGATTATTATAAACTCAATTGGTAATTATTTTTCTGCGATTGATTTGAAGATAAAATGTGCTAAAATAAAATCACAATACATTATTTATAGCATTGATTTTTCAGTTATTCAGGTTCAACATTTTGTTTTTTTAGAGTATTATATAATTGATATAATACTTAACTACTTGTATTGAAAAAATCATTTAAATGTAAAATTGAATATGATGTTTTAAAATTATAAACGAATAATTAATAACAATAATAACTTGAATTTTTTTTTTCATAACATATACATATATATATGTATGTGTGTGTGAGTGTGTTACAGCAAAAGGCGATAGTTTGTAAATGACATATTTTACCAAAATTATTCGATTTTGTAGCTAAATGTTGTAAAAAAGAGTATTTTAAATTCAAATTTACTACTTTCACCAGCCAATGACGTAATTTACTAAGGTTGTTGGTAAATTATTATAAATCTCATATTTTTCATAATAATAAACCAATTATTTTACTATGCATACGAATTAATAAATATCATTCAACATAAGGTATTCATACTGAAACTAACCCTGTCCTTGTTATACACTTTATATCATTTAATAGTTTATCCGAGTTGATGGTGAATAAAGAAAGATACTTAAATATTTTATAAACTTAATTTTTCTCGCAAAATCAAAATCCATACCTACATTAGTGTGAGTCGACGAACTCTTAAGTTGATTAAATGGCACTAAATTCGTAATTTTCTGTTTTAAATGGTAATAAACGTCAATAACTGATGAATGTCTATAATAATTAATATTTATATTATTTGTATAACATACCAGGCCCGTTGAATCTCACAATTTTTGTTTATGATTATAATATATATATATATATATATATAGATAAAACAATGTTAATAAAGTATGTGGTATTCATTATTTCATTGTTTATTTATAAACAGTTCTGATATAATACAATAGACAATAGTTAGTTTTAGTTGACCTAATTGATCTCAACAAATATAAATACCAATTATTTATTGAATATTAAATGTAAAATTGAAATAAATACTTAAAATTAAAAATAAAAATACTACAATCATTAAATAATATTAGTAAACAAATAAATACAAAATCTAATGCATAATAATATCTCGTTTAGTATCACCTACATCTAGTTACTAATATATTCAGTTAAACATAACTTTTTCAATAAATAATTACCTACCTAATATATTTTAATGCATTTGAACATCTTTTATCCTGAACTTATATACATTTATTATTTAAATTAACATATGTTGTTTCTGTATGATACATAATTGGGATAGGCGCAATTTGGGTTAAATTTTTGGGGGGGTTAGATTTATATCAACTAAAGTAGACCTTGAGGGTCTACACCTCCGCTGAACCCATTCATATACCTTCATTATACTATGAGTAATACAATACGAATAATTTTATTAATAGCTAAATAAAATTTATCTTTTTTAGTAGTAATGAGTAATAATAATAATAATAATAATAATAATAATAATAATAATGGTATTTTAAAAACTAATAAAGTTATTGGTATATTAATAAATAGAGTATATAATAAAGGATTTTTTTCAAATTTAAAATACTAAACCCATTTTTAGTATTTTCTATATTAAATACAAAAAGCAAACAATTAACTACTTGATTTTATTTATTTGTTTAATTTTACCAATTTTATCAATATTTTCTGGTGTCAATTGTCGAGTATATATATATATATATCATATACATAAATAAATTAATTAATAAGTAAATAATATTCAATTTAGTGGAAAATATATACGTACAGTTCATATACATGATGAATCAATCAACTCAGTATTATACTACGGATGGACAGTGTGATGTGTAATATTCACAGAAAAAATGCAACAAATCACTTCGGATTTACAATAATTGATAATGCACGTTTAATTTTTAAAGAATTTTTTCCATCGTTGACTCTTAAAACCTAACCATTTGCGATAAAATACAAAACAAAAAAATATAGGCTAAAACCGTAAATTATTAAAATTATTGTATCCAAAAACCACACATTTGTAATTGGGACTTAAATAATTAGTCATTACAACAAAAAAAGCTTAATACTAAAAAATGTAAAATATTTAAAAAAAATATATAAAATGTTAAATGAAAAATTTTCAAAGTATGATTAGTGGAAATCGATTGCCAACGTTTTTTAAAAAATTTAGACGATCTCAGTCTATTTAAAATTATTCCCAAAATTTAAACAAGTGCTCCTAAAAATAAATATACGTAATTTATTTAAAAATCAAAAACAATGCTATTACGTATTTACTAAATTGTTTTTGTTTTTCAATTGAACAAACTATATTTTCACTCCCTTAGATACTGGTTCATACGTGTCACTGTATTCATATGAATATTTCGTAAAGCATCAATAACCATAAATACAATAAATGGAATTGGAGTGTAAAATTCAGAATAACCTTTGTTAGATTAATGTGTATTCTTAATTCATTATAAATTTACGGTATTTTTTTATACGACGACTGATAAAGTATGCTGTTTTTATGTATCGACCTTTTTGGGGTCTAAATCAAAAGTGTGATTTTCGAATGCAACCTTTTAATAGGTTATCTAGATAATCGATAGACCTTTTGGTGTAGTTGTTATCACATATCGACTATCATCTAACTTTCTGTAAAATCTTCGTCGGTTGTTAATTAATAATTAATACCTACAAAATATATTTATTTTAATATTAAAAATATTATCTATAACTACTATTTTGATTCTATCTGTATTATTATTTTAAAAATTAACAGTCTTACAAATAAATGAATTCCAAAATTCCTATGATATATATGATATAACTAATAAAAGTTTGAAGGTGCTTATATAAAATTTGGAGATCGCTAAGCACCCTCAAATACCCTTCAAATTGTGCTTATGGCTATTGGTAAGTTAGATTGCTTATGAAATTATTAAAAAATTTCAAAATAAAATGTATTTAAGTAAATTAAAATGACATTATCTTTATAGTTAAAGCATTTATTGCTTAATATATAATGTTATTTAGGTATTTATATGTTTCAATCATAATTTTTTTTATTCAAGAATAAATTAATGATTATGATACTTTTACTTTGAGAAATTTAAATCTAATTTAAGTATAAACATATTTAGTCAAGTAACTCAAGCACTGATGTAATCTTCCCAGTTAGTCCAAGTGTTGTTAAATAAAGAAGGATTTGCATCTTTGGTACCCCTCTTATTCAATGGTTTTGATGCAGATTCTTTGAATTTTTTTAACAACCTTTCGAAGTACTCTATTTTAATTTCTACAAATTGTTTCATTTTACTGCTTGGTTTGTAATTCAAATTGACCTGTTCACAAGGATCTTTCACAATGTGAAATAAACATGGTTTCTTGAATGATTCGCATGGTATCGTATTTTTATCAAAATTACACTTCACTGTCGAATTATTACGAAGTGACATGATTAAACTTGATGTTAATCTATCGTCATTTAGTTGAGATAGTATTTTAGCAGCAGTACTATTCAATACAGCATCCACATCATACCGAGGTACACTTGGTGGTAATAATCCTGACCAGTAATCGAGATAACCCAAGAATGTACTCCCTAAAACAATTACACACATAAATTATAACACAATTGATTCAAGATGAAAACGATAAGTTTTAAATAATATAATATAATAAGTTTAATAAAATTTTGTATTTACAAAAAAAAAAAAAAAATAGTTACGAGAACAACAAATTTAGTTTATGTAAATTAATGAACAGTAAAACAGTTTTGTATAAGAATTATAGCATATTAGAAAAGATCTAGGACCCAGTGGCGTCGAACCTTTTTTATATCACTGGGGTAAAACCCTACTTATGGGTACCCACCTACTCCCCAAAAAATCATAAATAGTAAGTAT